AAGGCGTTGTTCATACCCTAAAACACGTTGTTTCTGCCCACCATGGTGCTTTGGATCTGGCTCACTTCCAGAGCTGTCGATGAGCACATGGCCAGAGAGGGTTTTAAGAACCTGCAATGCCAACCAAGTCACCTTTCCCAAGGGATTTACACCCTTTATAGGCTTCCTGTCCCGGATTCCTAGGTGCTGTGCCTGCTGCACTGGGGCTGATGTTTTGGCTCCAATTCCTTCCCACCCCACAACCCACATCCCTTGTTTTCCTGCCTAGTGCAAAGAAATTACTAAAAACCACAACAAAAAGCTAAGAAATCCTCTAATTTAATGAGCAGAGAAGCCCCCAGACCTCTAGCTTGGCTTTTAAAGTATGAGCAATATCATATCTGTGTCTTGAGGAGATTCAATTATTTTAACAATTAAAAGGGACCTCCCCAAAGGCTGCACATGGAGGGCACAAGCACCTGCAGGACTCATGTGCATCCCAGCCCAGCACAAACGTCCCATGGCAAAGGTAACTTCACAGGTGGCACAGAAAGAGAAAACCAGAAAAGGTCATTGCACAAGAGGGGCTGATTCTTCTGATTTAAATACAACCCTCCAAACCCACAGTGCAAAGCCACAGGCACACCCAGAGTTGAAGCAAACACTCACCAGTGACCCTTGGGCAGCGATGCTGCTTCCCTGCAGGCAAGGGGAAAAATTTCCATCCTCCTTCTCTGTATAGGGAATGACTCTATGGGGACAGCAGCCAGCCCAAAGGCAGAACACTGGGACAACCAGCTCACTGGCAGGGTCAGATACCCCAGCTATGCACCAATCCATCCTCTGAGACACCCCCCAAACCTCAGCCTCAGACCTTTTATTGCCTTCAGGACAACAAATCCCAAAATCTCAGTGCAGCTGCCCTGGGAGGTGAAACGACACAAAAGGACACAAACCCCAGGTGCTTAGAGAGCTCCAAGCCCCAAGGCAAGCACCCAACCGTCTGATTGCCTCTGAAAACCATTGTTAAGGTGATTCTCAGCAGAGGACACGCGTGGCACCCCCGAAGCCCCCCCGGAGTCTCTGTTGTGCTGGGGTGAGGCAGAGCTGCGGGAGGCGGCGAGGGCGATGTGTGAAATCGTGGGGCGGCCGCAGCTATTTCTGCTCCGTGTCAGCACCCACTGACAGCACCACCCTGGGAACACAGCGGAGCTCCAGGCTTCTTTTTTCCGAGTGAAATTCACCTGCACAGAGCTGTACTTCCCCCGCCATTGGGAGGTGTGGAGCTCGCTGGTTCTGGGGGCAACGCTGGGGGGCTTGGGGTCGAAGCGAGCTGCTGGCACCCTTGACACCTCCATTTAGGCTCCCAAGATTCCCCCTTATCTGATGGGCAGAAGCTTCTACAAATCCCTTCTCCTTCCTTCTGCTCAGGGTCACTCTTTTTTTCCCCTTCATTTCTTGGGACTAGGAGCGAGACCCAGGCAAATGCAACTGATTGTGTAACGTTTTGCTCAGAAAGCTTCTTAAACAGTCACATATTTCTATTGGATTTCCCTTGCCCTTCACTGCTGATTACTGGAGTATTTATGTATAAATAGAAGCTGTCTTCCCCATAATCTGCTTGTTTCTCCTAATTAACTCAGGGCTGCTCTCCTTGGGTTGCTCAGCCCTTGGGTTTTGGGGGTGCCAGCACCCAGTGGCATTCACTGAACCCAAATGCACCAAATTTCTGCTGAAATTGCTTTTTTAGCTGGTTTTAAAGATGCAACATCCTCCTTTCCAAACTTTATGTGCTCAGTATCTGCCCCATCCTCCCAACCCCCAGCTCAGGGAAGTGCTCAAACATGATTTCTTCTTCTTCCTCCCTCCTCACAAAACTTTCCCCTAATTCAAGGAACGTCTCGATTTGATAATTATTTTAATCATTATTACTCATCTTTCCCCTTTCTTCCCCCCCTCAAAATTTCGTCCTGGGCCTGTCAATCACTTTAATAGCTGTTTACAACCTATCATCAAGTCTTGCATAACATCCACATGACTTCACTCAGATGCCTCCGACACCCAAAAGCTGCCCCTGGGCTCTATTTCAGGAGCGATGGAGCCCACGGCACCAACTGGCTGCATCCCCCGCCGGCATGCCCGGGGTCCTGGGATGGGGAAAATCAAAGCCAAAGACATGCCCGAAACAAAACTATTTTGTAGTTGACACAAGACAGCCCCACGCTGCTCCCCGGTTCGGGTTTTGGGGGTGAGGGTTGGTTTGGTGGGCTCATACCCATCGCAGGTAGGTGTTGCACCAATTTGGAGAGATGGGGAGCTAAAGGCACCTGGAGCAGCCCCTGGATGGCAGCCTGGCCTCTGCCCCCCCACTCCCCTCACACGCACACCAAACATGGCAAATTCTGTTCAAAATGTCATTTTCCAGCGAAGCTCTCCCCCCGCGGCATCGCCCGTCGGCGGCGGGTTGGCGGGGGGACGGGGCAGAGGCGCAATCTGTGCGGGAACGGCTGCCAGCCCTTTTCCTTCGGCAGGCGACGGCTGGCTTGTGGGGCGGGGGGGGACACGACGGCTCTTTTTTAAGCTCTCCCGTCCTCCCCCTCTCCCTCAGATTTCATAACCCTCCAAAGCACGAAAAGGCTCCTCCGGTTCCCGGCTAATGAGCTCCTGCGGAGGAGGAGCCGCGGCCCCGGCAGGAGGGGAGCTCGGCAGCAAAACCTCCCCAGGGCGGGTGTGACGGGGCACGGGGGCACGGAGGGGTCTCTGAGGGGTCTCACCATAACCCCAGCTTAGCCAGTTCTCTCCCCAAAACGCCCCTTGGCACGAGGCTGCTCGGGATGGGATGTATATCCCTCCCCGTGCAGATGCTGCATGCAAATATTTATTTCCACAGCATGAAGGAGTTATTTATTAAGCCACAGTTGACAACTGTATTCAAACTAATTTCTCTTAATAAGGCACATACGGTCACCCCGGCAACAGCACCAGAGCGCCCTTCTTTAAGGAAAATACCTACTGGGGTGAAAATCCCCTTGGATGCCAAGAGGGTGCTCTGGTGGCCTCTGGAGATGCTGGGGCTGGAGACACCAACCCCCTTCTTGGGAGATCTGCTCCATCCCTGGAGATGGAGTCCAGAGGGGGGAAATTGGGCTAGAAGTGCCTCTTTTTTGTGATATATGTATAGCTACAGAGGTCACCAAAAGCAGGAGGTCATCCGAGGGGGTCCATGCTTGCCAAGGGGAACATAAGGGATGGCAGAGCTCCTATGTCCTGCATTGAGTTGGAAAACACAATGGGTGCTTTATCAATTCCTGTGTCACAACACCAATTAAGGATGGTGTGGGATGAAGGCAGGATTTCTGCTTCCTTGCACTGACCAAGGTTAAACTATGCAGAGAAAGATAGCAGATTTCTCAGCTCCATCTGCTCCTCAGAGAATAATCAAACCAAATTTCCCCTGGGTTTTAAAATCCTGGATGCATCAGTTTACCAAATACTGTGCAATCCAGGGTTTGCAAAACACAGCTCCCCAAAACTGGAAGGAAGCTCCTTATCCCCTCTGAAACCCAGACCTAAACTCGCACACTAAATCATCACGGGGTTTTTTGGGGGGTATTTTACTGAACAGCCACACAGTGCTCCAACCACAGTGCTTCTCTGGGGTGGCCCCAGAGAAACCCACCAGGAACCCAGGACCCCAAAACAAAGAACCCACACTGGCAAGTAGAGCAGGCTGTGATTTACTGGGAGAACAACACTTCTGCAACAACAGAGAACACGACTGTGCCCAGGCACCCGGCCAGCAAACCTGCAGCACCACTGAGCATTGCCACACTGGGGACCTCAGAGAGGTGACATCAAAGCAGACTCTGGAGGGGTGTTCGAGGTTCTGGGGAACCCAGAGAGCTGACACTGAGAGCAGAGACCAGAGGGAAGCTCCTGGAGACCCGAGAGAGGTGAAACCAGAGCAGAGACCAGAAGGATAATCCTGGGGACCCCGGAGAGGCCACACTGAGAGCAGAGACCAGAGGGGTGCTCATGGTCCTGGGGACCTTGGAGAGGTGATACCAGAGCAGAGACCAGACGGGTGCTCACGGTCCCCAGCACTGGTTTCCCTCCTGTGTCACCCCCAGACACACAGACACAAGACAGAAGCCTGCTGGGACAGGCAAGGCTGCTACATGCCAAGGGAGGGAGCAAAAGGCAGTGGGTTCCAGATGGGCTCCACGGGCATTGCAGCCACTCTGGAGACAGTGGCACACAACTCCCTCCGTAGGCACTTGATCCTTCAATCTCGGGCACCCTGGCTCTGCCTGTGAAGCTCCAAAGGCACACATTGGCTGCAAGGGATCTCACAAACTCCTGCTGGGATTGCAGAGAGCCTGGAGGAGCCCAGCACTGTGTGGATGTGATGGGGTTTGGTCCCAGCCCCCAGCTGGCCTGGCTTGTTTGTGCGTGGCTGGGCTCGATCCTCCTGGCTGTGACAGCGGGCCTGCTCTTCACATGCTCATTCCCAGCCCAGATTCCCTTTATCCATGAGATGAGCATGTTGTCAGACCTTTGCCTTCTCTGAAAGTCATCTGAGATGGCAGGAGCCAGGTAGGAGCACCAAGAAAGCAGGGATTCAGGGCTGAGGGGCTGCAGTGGGGGCTTGGCAGTGATTCAGAGCTGCGAAGAGGTATCTAAGCAAGGACAGGGAAAGTGGAGCAGGCCACAAGATCTGCCCTGGAAACTGGGCTTGGACCAGAAGAAACCAGAATCAGAGGGAACTGCTGTAGCTGGAATTGCTGATCTAGTTGAAAATAAAAGGCATCTACTGCAGGAAGTGGTAGGTTCCCTTCCAGGGCAAAATCCTGACTGCTGAGTGCAGGACTTTGCCCAGGCTTCTCTGTTTGCAGGGTTTGCTCTAATAAACACACACATCCCTGCAGCAGAGCAGTTGAGCTCCTTGGAGGCATTTCCTTAAGGATAGATCCCTGCCCCTGTGCCCTCACTAATCTGCCCAAGCCTCCCTCCTCCTCCTCTTACACACTGCCTGGGTTGTAGCACAGCAGGTTGAACTCCAGGTTCTCATCCCAGTGACGGAGCAGCACAAAGAGCTGCTGGGCTGCAGCTTTCACCGTGGCCAGGCTGGATCCCTCCGGGAAGTCCTGCTCGCTCAGCCACAGGCTGGCTTTGGCAGCCACCAGCTCCCACTCGATGAAGTAGGAAGCCGAGCTGTGCTCCAGCCAGGCCAGGGCCACCGCCGTGGCCCACAGCATCCCCTCGGGCTCTGTCTGCTGCTGCAGCTCCGCGTCCAAGAGCAAAGCCTGGAGCTCGGAGCCGTCGGTGTCCCAGCCCCGGCCGCTGCCGGCGGGGGAGGAGAAGCTGCGGATGGTGATGGCCGGGGGGGACGGCTCCTTCTCGGCTCTCTGGGCTCTGCAGATGCTCTCGGCCGCGCTGCCCGACAGGTGCCGAGGGCGGCCCGTGTCCTCCGGCACTGCTCCCCCAGCCAGGTCTCCAGGGGTGGGGCCCTTCCCCTGCCCACTGGGGACCAGCAGCTGCTGGGTGCAGTTCAGGATTTTGTGCTCCGAGGAGGGACTGCTCCTCTTGGTGCTGTAGGAGCCGGAGGGGCTGAGGGACAGGCGGTGGCAGGCGAAGGGAGATGTCCACTTCAGCTTCTCCATGGGGATGTTGACAGCGTCGCAGAGGGCTGAATTCAGAAGGAAGGCACCGCAGGCCAGCTGCAGGGACACCTGCAAGGGAAGGCAGGCACAAAGGGAAGCTCTGGCACCAACCACTTTTGGGTACCTCAGGAAAAAGGCATGTATGGATGAAACAGCTGTCCATCTCTGAGCAGGTCACTGGACGTGGTTGTCAGAGACAGCAGGAGGAAGATTTGGGGGGATCTTCCTCTGCTCCCCTGCAGTGATCACACAACCCCAACAAGACCCAGGGAGGAGCTGCTCACCAGGGGAAGGTAGTCCATGCTCTCACTGTCACCTTCAGAGCCGGCTTTGCTCCCTCTGCTTGGAGATTTACTCATGAAGCCTTTGGCAGCTCGAACCAGCAGCATGGTTTTATTGAGGGTCAGCCTGTGAAAGGATGAAAAGGTGTCAGTGTCCTCTGTGTTCATCCTGACATCCACCCTCCCCTCCAAAATCATCCTTGCTCCCCAGGCACTGGCACCATGCTTAGCCCCAGCTGCTATCCTTGGGGGTCCCTCCTCTCCCCCTGGCTTGTGTTCACATCACACCCACACAGGGGAAAGGCACCTGCTGAAGTCAGAAGAAGGTTGAGCTGGCTCATACCTGGCAGCAAAGAGCCTCTCAATGGATTTTTGGGCTTGTGCAGAGGAAGCAGACAGGCTGTGGAGAGGCCCTGGGGAGAAACACAGTGCTAGGGTTACAAGGTGCTACAGGGCAGCAAAAGAGAGCAGAGTCAAGGCCTTGGACATGGGCTTGTTTGGCTGCTGAATCTTTGGCAAAACTCTTCCTCTCCCCTTGCCTCATTTTTCCTATAAGGATAATAAAAAATCCAATACCTCTTAAAAATGAAACTGGGGGAGATTTATACCAAAAACCACATCAGGTTCCATCCTTTGCACCTCAGAATGAGTCAGGCCCTGTGCTCACAAGTCTAGTTTTAGGTCATAAATTTTTATAAAATTCCCCAAAACTCAGCAGAAGCCCAAACCACAGACTCGATGGAGCTGCACCAAGTGCCAGCAGCTCTTTCCCTACCTTCAGGGACACGGCAGCGCTCCCAGGCAGACAAGGACGGGGTGCTGGAGGGTGAGGGGCTGCTCTCCTCAGCATCTGCAACCGAGGAACTACATCAGCAACAGCACCCAGCCAAAACCAGCACCTTCCCTCCCATGGCACGATGGGGTTAATGAGCCTCTCTGGGGCTCTGTTAACTCAGCTCTGGCTCTGACAGTGCCAGACAAGGTCCAATTCAACTCGTCTTCATTAGTGGAGGATTTGGTGACAAGTGAGTGTCTCACATCCCCCCTGCCTCTAATTACACTCGTTTCATCCTTCGTGTTACCCACGGTATGGCTGCCAATTAACTCCCGAGCGTTGTCAGCAGCACCACCTGCCATTTCAGGGCTTTGGGGGAAATTGAAGCTTCCTCACCATTCAAGGAGATGAGCCCCAGCCTGACACGTGTCTGGTGAGCACTGTATGCAAAGGGGAAGGCAGAATTTAAAAAGACCAGAGAAGGAGTCCCAAACCACTGAGATCTCTAACACCAGGAAGGAGATAAAACCCCAGGCAATCTTACTCCTGCTGTTAAATCTGTAGTCTCCATTCTGGCCACATGCTGACTGAGGACGTCCAGGGGAACACCCACGATGCCTTCTGCTTCCTGAACTCTTCTGTTTCCTCTGGTTGCCTTGCTTGGATGTTGCCCCTTGGCACAAGAGAAGAGAAGAGAATGGCCAGAGTTAGAGAGAGACTGGCACATGCACAGTGGCAATGAAACCACAGAATGAGCTTGGTCAGTAACTGGAGTGACAGGACAAGGAGGAATGGCTTCAAACTCAAAGAGAGTAGGCTTAGATGGGCTATTGGAAAGAAATTCTTTGATATGAGGGTGGTGAGGCCCTGGCACAGGTCACCCAGAGAAGCTGTGGCTGGTCCCTCCATGGAAGTGCCCAAGGCCAGGCTGGATGGGGCTTGGAGCAGCCTAGGATAGTGGAGATGGTGGCAGGGGGTGGAATAGGATGAGCATTAAGGTCTCTTGCAACCCAAAACATTATGTGATTCTCTGGTCATTTCTACTCTGGGTATCCTCAGAGAAGACCTTTTCCCTGGCCATGGGAAAAGGTTTGTGCCACCAAGAGCTTGGCCACGGCCTTGGGTATGGGACTGGTGCCAAATTGTGCTGCAGGTTCACAGGGTTTGCCCTGAGAGAAGTTTCCCAGTGACACCTTCCCTGCCAAGACAAGGTTCCACCCCTGTGCCAGCCCCACATTACCTGTGTGGGTGTACTGGACCAGGGTGGGCAGGTAGGAGCTGGTGCTCAGGTCCACGGGCACGAAGGCCGTGTACTTGCTGATGATGTTACAGGCCTTGCTGGTGTGGACCGCGCTGAGCTGGAACCGCCGCCCAGACCCTGCCACGGGAGGGACAGTGGTCAGAGTCCACGGGCCCCAAGGGCTCCCCCACCCCTCACACCCAGCTCCCAGACCCACCTCCATGCTTGGGGATCCTTGCCCAGCAGGGCCTGTATCGCTTTATCTCTCTAAACTCTGCCTACTGCTACTGCTGCTCTTATTTTACAAGCCCAGATGCACTTCATGAAGGACAGGGTTGACATGGCCCACAGACATGTGTGGCCTAGGGCAGTGATGTGTGGCTGCTGCTGGAGTTGGATGCCACTTCCGAGCTCCAAGTGACCAACTCCTTAAAAATCACCATCTTACCTCATGCATGAAGCAGAGGGATCACAGAATCATGGAACATACTGAGTTAGAAGGGACCCTCAAGGACCATCAAGTCCAACCCTGATTCTGAGGAGTGGGAAGGAACATGAGCTCAGGAATGATCATGTGCAGCAAGGCTGGAGAAGCAGAAGAGCACAAGGCAGCTGAAGGGGGCTGTTATTTGGGAGCTGTGTGAGACATTCCCTAATATTTCACCACCAGCAGCTTTTGTTTTCACTCCAGAGGCTGCTGAGACTGCTGGAAAGCCCTCCTGAGGCCGGGCAGGGTCTGCCTGCAGCCAGCTGTGCATTACCATGCTCGATTTCACACTCCCTCTCGGCGAGCTGCTCCAAGTCCTGGATGAGTGACTTGGCTGCCAGGTGGTGGAAGGTCTCACTCCACAGGTCTGTGTCACCATCCTCCTGGCTCTCCCGCTCCCGGAACAGAGGGTGGATATCAAACGTGACTTCCCACTGCACAGGCTCATTGTTCCTCAGCCCCTTCACCACTGCCTTGCAGAGGGTCCTGGGGGAGCGTGGGGAGCCACAGGCAGCACCGACATCCAGGTCCTGGGGCTCCCAGTCGGAGGAGGTCTCTGTCTCAAAGGTGAGGGATGGATGCTGGGCAGACTCTGCAGAAAGGGGAGAGGTGGATCATTAATCACCTCCTGGGAGCTGAATTCCCCACTGGCACCACAAAACCATAATTAATCCTTCCCAGTTTTCACACGGTGGCACGGAGAGTGATGCAATGTCACCAGAGCCCGGCACGGACAGGTGAGGCTGGCCATGCCTCCCCTCTCCCACTTACCCAGATCCCCGGGGCTCCGGCTGTCCGATGAGGAGTGCAGGCTCCTGATGGCCCCAAGTGCTTCTAAGTCCCTTGCCGGGACTTCCTGCAGCCCGTCCGGCAGTGCCGGGGGGGTGGCGTCGTGGCAGAAGGACACACAGCTGTGCTGGAGCAGGGCGGGGCGCCGGGCGCCTGTGCCACGGATCCTGGTGGCAGAGGCATGCGGGATGGCCGGGAGGGGCTGTGAACCGAGCACATGTTAGGGCTGGAGCCGGCTGCAGCCAATGGCACAGACCTGCTCTGTGCCCTCTGATCCCGTCTGCTCCATGCATGGACCTGCTCTGTGCCCTCTGATCCATGCATGGACCTGCTCTGTGCCCTCTGCTCCATGCATGGACCTGCTCTGTGCCCTCTGATCCCGTCTGCTCCATGCATGGACCTGCTCTGTGCCCTCTGATCCATGCATGGACCTGCTCTGTGCCCTCTGATCCCATCTGCTCCATGCACGGACCTGCTCTGTGCCCTCTGATCCCGTCTGCTCCCTGCCCGACCCCTGTGAGGGATGCAATCACACAGGTCCTTCCCTCTGCCCATCCCTGGCTGAGATCTGTGCCCAGACAAAGCTTTCCACCAGATCTTGGGGTGTCCCCAAGGGACCCTGGCCCCACAGGCTCCTTCCCCAGACATACAGAAGGTGAAATATGAGTTTCATCCCTCCAGACATTTTAATGACTTCACTTGGGAACCAAAGAAAAGAAGAGAGACAGAAAGATCAAGGACCAGTTGCTTAGTAACAAAAGGAGAGAGGTGCAGGGGATGGGAGAAAGGAATTTTTATCTTTTTATCTTTTTTTTTTTTTAAACTGTTTCTCCACTTTCAGGAGATATGAATCCCCCACTCCAGCACCTCTGGTGCAACATTCCACAGAGATGCTCCCCTCTGCAAGGTCTGGGTTTCATCCCTTTCCCCAGAGCTGTGGGAAGATCCATCTAAAACAGACAGACTCTATATTCCTAGGACATCACCAGCAAGAAACAGAGGTGGTAGAAAGTGGTGGATGGAAGGATACTTTCTCTGAGTGACAGACATATATGACCTCCATCACCACCACTTAAATTTTGTTGTTCTATGACACCACCAGCAAAACTGGGAGCCAGGTGGCTCCAGGCATGATTTACCAAGCTAATATTGACACATCCTGCCAGACCCTTTCTGTTCCAAACCTGCTCCTTCTCCTGCCCGGGCTCTCCTCCCAGACAGAGGAAGCCAGCTGGGAATGGAGCTGGGAGTTTAAGCTGCCTGTGGCTGGTGCTGACCTTTCCTTCCCAGCATGGCAAGCGTGGAGATGAGCTGAGGGCTCAGCTTCACACCCCTGAAAATGTCAAGCCCTGGCAGCAGGACTGGGAGCTGGGAGAGCTGCTGGGAGCCCTGGCAGCAGGAGGGATAGCAAAACCAGGCTGCATTTAATTAAGAGCAGGCTGCATGCTGTTAACCATTTACTGCCCCCCAGAAGGGAGTCAATTCCACCCCTGCTTGCACACTGAAGGCAGGAGATGCTCTGGGGACCTTCCCAATACAGGGAATGTTGCCAGTACCCCTAAAACCTGCTTGTTCTTGGTCATTGATGCTGTTCACCACCCTCACTGCTGAGGGCAGTAGGTCTCATCCCCCCCTCTGGAGCCCTGGCCCTGCTTTCCCCTTTGCCCCCTCACCTCCCCTTCCAGCCCTCACCCAGTGATCTCTAACCCACAGCCGAGGGGAAATGAAAGTCCACAACATCCTACTCAGAGTTTCCATGGGAACGCAAGTGCTGCTGGTCCTCCCAGCTCTGCAGATGCTGATTGCAGAGCAGAGCATCCCAGCAATGCCAAGGATGAAAGAAAACTATCCCTATCCTTCCCAAAGATCAGCTGAAAAATCTGCCCAAATTCCACCTGCTGCAGATAAGGGACAAAACCCTGTTCAGCAGATGTATCATCACACAGGTTCACATCTCATCCCAGTGCTGTGTAAGGCAATGGATATAGCTGGAAATCTGCTTTGGCACTGAATTCCTTTTCCCTGCCAGGCACAGAAGTGCCACAGCCATGGGCAGGTTTGAATCCTAAATTGTAGGGAGGTAAGAAGGACCAGAAGAGCAGCAAGGCGAAGCACAGGCTGCTAAGGGGAAGGGGAGCAGGAGAAAAGCATGTTCCCATGGGGAGGGAATGCTATAGGATATCAGGATGGCACTCTGCTCCCTGCTTGGCTCATTTCCCCAGTGTTTGGGATGTGCTGCAGAGCTGTATCTATTATCTATACCTATAATAATTTTTAGGGCCAGTGTGAGTCAGGCTCTTATCCACCTGATATTTTCCTCCTTCTCCTTGCTGGTTCCACCTGCAGGCAAAGCCTCTCGGGGGATCACCTACCTGGAAATCCACCTGCCAGGGCTCAGGGCTGAGCTGTTGCAGGTCCTGCAGGTGGGTTTTCCGCAGGGGGTTTTTCACCAGGGCTGTGCCAGGATCGCTGGCTGTGGGCACCTTCCTGCGAGGCTCGTGCTCGGAGATTTGGGTGGTGCTGTACGCCCGCCTCCTGGACAGAGCCTTCACATCCATTCCTGAACGGTGGGAGAGAGGATCAGCTCCAGTCCACAGTGGGATCAGCCAGCACCACCCCCTGGCTCACAGTGGGAGGCAGGGAGCCCTCGCCAAGGTCCTGCCAAAGCTCAGGGGGCCACACTCAGCCCTGCAAAGTTTTAAGCAGAGCAACGAAACAACAGAAGGAAATAGAAACACAAAATTCCTGGGGATGTCAAGAGAGCAGGTTGGGAAGGTTTTGTCTGAGGAGTTTTCAGCCAAAAAAAGCCTGACTGCATTTTCCCAAACCTCCCTGGAGAAGACAAAGGGTTTACTAATGAAATTTAATTAGTGCAGACATGCTCCTGTCAGAGCAAGACTAAAATTTGCCTTGGAAAGACATGATTTCTCATTGCTTTTGACAAGTTTGAGGGGATGCACAGTACAGATCCTCTTGGAATAAAAGGGAAGAACATCCCATGAGTAACAGAGGTTTCCCCAGCTCCAGGGTGCAACCAGCTGCTTTATGCCACATGCTGCTGAAACAAACACCCAGCCAGGCTGTGGTGGGGAGGAGTGACATCCTGGGGAGAAGGCTTTGGATCCATTGTCCCCTTCTCCTGACTGGGAAGCTGCTTTGCAGGTACAGGGATGGTCTAGCAGAGCTATCTATTCATTCACTCCACTCCTCCTCACACCACTTGGGAAGCTTGTAAATAATTATGTGGCCAAAGCTAAAGCTGCTTTGAAAATCTCCAGGGAACACGGCTCACCAGGGCTTCCCTTGATTTCCTGACAGGTTTGGATAAAACATCCAAACCAAACAGACTTGCTCAAGCCTCAGGAGATCTGTCATCTCTCCTGCAAACTCCTCCAGCTCTTTGCAGCTGAAGACATGTGTAAATCAGGCAAAAAAATGGGGGGAGCAGTGACAGGAGCTTGATTAGAGAGACAGGGGCATCACCCCCCCGCATGTACAGAGGAAAATCTGACCCGTGTCCGTGTCCGACTCTCCCCCAGGATCTCTGGCCACGCTCAGGTGGTCGGGGGAGCGCTCGGTGGGGCAGGACCCCTCCGAGTCTCTGGAGTGGTTCCAGCTTTCCAAGCCTGCTCCCTCCTCCTGGGAGTGAAAGAAAACAGAGCTGCCCGACTCCTGGGAATGCATCGTGCTGTACTGCCGCCTCTTGTCCTGGGGGGAAGCACAGAGAGGGAACGAGTCCCACCACCATGTCTGTCCCCTGGCTCCCAGCTGAGACAGACTGCACCAGCATCCTCAGCCACTACTGCCCCCCAAAGTCCCACCCATCACCTCCCTTAAGGACACAGCTGGGAAGCAGGAGACACTCCCTGACCATGCACAGAGCCAAGACTCTTGAGTACACCCCAACAACCCCTGCTCCTGGGACAGCCCCACAGACTCACAGATTTGGGGTTGGAGAGGTATGGGGAGGTGTCACAGATGACACCATAGCTGACCAGGCGGTCACCAGGGAACAGGCAGCTGCTGCTGACAGGGGACACCAAGACCTCGGTGCTCTCAGGAAAGACCCACTCCACGGACACGTCGCTCAGGACCGGTGCCATGGCCTTCTTCAGTGACCTGATCATCTGCAAAGGGCAGGGGGAGAGGTTCAACACCAGCTGGACACAGTGGGAGCCATGGTACACATGTCATATGCTGCAGGGAAGGGGAACATTCTCTCAAACAATCCCATCAGCTATTTCCTACCCTCTCCTGACAGTCTGCTTCCTCTCAGTCTACTCTGATGTCCACCCCAGCACTTCCATCTCCTTGGCACAGTTATACCTGACAGAGCTGGGTTAATGGTTGGTCTTTTCCAACCTAAATAACTCCATGATTCCGTGATTTTTTACCATGAGCAGATAGCGATGGAGCATAGGGCTGATCTCACACACGCTGCCAGCCCAGAGCAAGGAGGGAGCTATTGGCCTGAGGGGTCTTTCTCTGATGTGAGGCAGCATCCTCTACTCCCCTCTAGCACCCAGGAAATGCTGTCAGCCTTCACTGGTCTGAGCCCCAGCCCCAGCACTCACACACTGATATTTTTGGAACAGCTTATTGCTGGTACAAGCCACTGCCAGAGATCAGCAATGCTCTGTCAGTTACACAAATGGAGAGGACCAATATTGGTGAATACCTCGTGGACAAATCTCCCATGGAGCCATCTACATGAGCTTCCCTGCACACCAAGGGAACTGAACACCAGATTTAGAGACAGAACAGCTCAAATATTCCCTATTGTTCCCTGCTTTTTCACAGGCTTGGGAAGACACACCAGGCTGTGTTTTATAAGACCATTAATTGACGCCTCAGACTGCTGAAGGCACCGAGCTGCACAGCCTGCAAAGCTCTTATTAATAGCTCTTATTAAACACCTCTCTCTTCACTGTCTTTGCTTTTAATTTACATCAGAAATGTTGATGCTATTCTGTCTTAGAGAGGTTTTTGTGTGCTCCAGGCTCCTGCAGAGGGTGGAGCTGCCGAACTCCTCCTTAAGAGATCAAGAAGGTAAGAGCTGGCTTTTTGGAGATATTTAGGAGCTAAAGACCCAATTCTCTCTGGGTTCAGTCAAGCAGCAGGTGACAGGCTGGGCTCTGCAGTCACCAGGGGACAGAGCCATCTCTATGCTAGATTTCAAGCACACAATTTTACTCTTCATGGGGAGAGAGGGAATGGAGAGGCTTTAAAGTCAGCTTAATAAGCAAAGCCATCACAATGCATTCCTCTCGCTCCAACCCCGAATCCTTCTCGCCTAAGCAACGCCAGGGTTGAGCCCGACTTCAAAACTAATTGGCTGCTTTGATGCCGGTCCCACTGCCCTCGCCGGAGCTGAGGCAGAGCTGCCTTTGAAGGCAGAGCTGCAGCATCGCGGCTGTCGCGGCCCCCCAGCCCAGGCGGAGACAAACACACCCTCTGCTCCCTCTGAGGGCGGCCGGACACGGAGCTGCTCTTTCACACCCTCCCGCTCGCCCACTTGCTGCCAGGGGGGTTTGGAAGGCAGGGCCAGGAGGGGGAATGAACCCCCCGGGAGCCGTGGCCTCCCCCTTGCTGAACCAGAGCATCCTTACAGCCCCACGGGCCGGCTCCCGGGGAGTGGGGGCTGTACCTTGGGCTGCAGCCTCTCATCCTCCTCCAGGAACTCGGAGACGCCCCTGGACACGGCAGCCAGACCCCGGACCAGCCTCCTGCAGGCGTTTGGCCCGACGCCGAAGCTGTAGCACCTGCAAAGGGACAGGGAAAATCAGGATCCAAAGGAAAAGCCACCCACCAGCCCCGTGTAGCTCACACATTCCCTCAGGCAGAAACTCCCTCTGGCTTTATCCCACTGCTATGTCCAACAGAATAAAACAGCCCCTCTTTTCGCTATGTGGCAGGAAGGTTGAGAACCTCCCAGTGCCCAAAGGAGCTCCAGGAGAGCTGGAGAAGGACTCTGGACATGGTCATGGAGTGATAGGACAAGGGGGAATAGCTTTAAGCTGAAAACGGGCAGGGTTAGACAGGATATTGGGAAGAAATTCTTCCCTGTGAGGGTGGCCCTGGCACAGGGTGCCCAGGGAAGCTTGGCTGCCCCTGGATCCCTGGAAGTGTCCAAGGCCAGGCTGGAGGGGGTTTGGAGCACTCTGGGCTGCGGAAGGGGTCCCTGCCCATCGCAGGGGCTGGAATGAAATGGGCTTGAAGGTCCCTTCCAATCCAAACCATTCTGGGGTTCAATAAACTGTCAGCCCCCTCATCTCAGCGGACCCCAAAACTCTTCCCCAAAGACCAGCCTTCAGCAGTGACACTCAGGGGTTCCCAGCAGGACCTCAAGCCTTCCCCTCCGCTGCAAACACAAACAAGCTGCTTTGCTCTCAGTTCAGCTCTTTTCCCTGCTAGCTGTGGTCAATAGCACCAAATATCCAGTAATTATCTCCGCTTGCAATGAAAATAAACATTTTCTCAGGGAAGGATGATCAAGCCAGGTGAGGCTGCTCCGCCACCCACTCCCAGGTCTATGAATCCGGATTTGGTTTGGGCTGAAGCTGGAAGTCGAGCTGGAGCCCAGGCAGGGAAGGCAGTGCTATGTGGGGATGGATGTGCCAGGAAGCCAGGAGGATGGAAATGGGTGGGATATGGCATTTGGGCAGGGCAGTGGTTTGCTGAGAAAGAAAGCCCCTTCAGCAGCAAACTGCATCTGCACAAGGGGCTTTTCTCTTGGAGGGTTTTAATCCTCAGCTGCCTGCAAATCCTAGGCCAGCCTCACACCCCTCCTAAATAAGGTTCTGATCTTCTTTTAAGATGGGCCATGCCCAGTACTCTCCCTTCCAGGGTCACCCGAGACCTCGCTCTAGCTCTGATTGCTTCTAACCCTCCCCTCCAGCTCCGCAGGAGCGAGGGGTGGGAGGGTGGGATGCCCTCTACACTGGGAAACAATCAGACCTCTGTGCAGTTACATACCCACAGAGCAGCTTCCCTGAAAACTCCAAAGTCTGAGAGATGGAAGAGGAATCAGGATTTCTTACATTTTTTTCTCATGTTTTGTGCCCCTTAAAGAGGCAGAGGAGAAACCAGAACAGCCTGTGATCAGGGCTGGGGAGCCAGGCGGGGAGCTTGTGCACAAATTAGCTGCTTTTTACATTGCTGCCTTTCAGCATATTCAATTCTGCACAGCCCCAGCCTGGAAGCAGCTGGGGCCAGCCCCAGATGTGCTTTAAAAAAAAATTTAAAAAAAAAGCAAGGAAGATTGTTGGCGTGTCAATCTCTCCTAGCAGGAAGCATCAGCCGAGAGCTGTGAAGTTGTCAGCTCAATTATCCTGCTTTTGATTGTTTAAAAAGCATCTGAACTTCTGGGATTCGTTCCAAAGCCTTTGAGGTTCTCCCATGGCTCACAGCAGCAATCTCTCCTGCCTCTGTCTCTGAAGTGGGGACGTCTGTGAGATGGAGCTGTGCTCGAGGGGAGGCACATGCCAGCCTGGGCCAGGTTTCTGGCCCTGCAGGGTTGAGTCTGTACCTGATGGAGCAGGAGTGGTCCCGCAGCAGCTCCAGAACCTTCCCAGTGTTGCTGATGGCCCCGGCTGTCAGCAGAAAGAGCAGCCGGGGGTGGCCCCTGTGGATGGGCTGGCGGATGAGCCACTTCAGGGGGGATAAGAGGTTGATGCTGCCCATATCAGCCTGGATCCTCCTGATGCTCTGGCAGGCAATGAGCAGGCTCTCCTGCCCAAAGGAACAGTGGAATCATCAGCACCAGCACCCTCTGAGCACCAAGGAGAGCCATAGGAGATGCTGAGGGAGTTGAGGCTGCTCATCCTGGTGAAGGGAAGGTTTTGAAGAGACCTTAAAGCCCCTTTAGGTCTCTTCAAAGTGCCTAAAGGGGCTCCAAGAGAGCTGGATAAGGACTTTGGACAAGGGCCTGGAGTGACAGGACAAGTGGGAATAGCTTTAAGCTGAAAAAGGGCAGGGTTAGATTTGGTATTATAAAGAAATTATTTACTATAAGGGTGGTGAGGCCCTGGCACAGGTTGCCCAGAGAAGTTGTGGCTGCCCCTGGATCTCTGGAAGTGTCCAAGGCCAGGTTAGTGGGGCTGGGAGCACCCAGGGATAGTGGAAGGTATCCCTGCCCATGGCATGTAAGATCCCTGCCCACACAAACCAGTCTGTGAATCTGTGAACTGTGGGTTCACCCACCTCACAATAGGCCTGGCTGACAGGAAAAAGGGCCTTGAAGGTGGATCCAAACCCAATGATATTGAAGAGACACGCTGGCATCAGACTCTTGAGAATGACCAACAGGGCATCCTGAGGGGTGGAATGCAAACAGACATCAGGACACTTGGATCCTCCCTGGCTGCCCCAACTTCACCAGTAAAAGCTCTGCCCAGAGCCATCCCATCTTATTCCCACTTTCACCTGACAACACACCAATTGCTTCTTTCCCATGCCTCCATATGACCCTGCTCTTTTCAAAGTCCCTTGATGATATTTGGGACCTGAAGCAGTGAGGAAAATGGGGAGTCTTTGGAAAAAAAAGACAACAAAGAACTGAACAATTTTTTGTGTTTGTTTTTAAGGGATTCAATTTGTGCTGGCAACACAGTGCTGCAGCACAGAGCTGGTGGGTGAGAAGCAGAGTGTGAAATTGAGAAGTGCGACACGCAATGCATCTCAATGCCTAAACTTGCAGAAAATAAACAAACAGCTTAAAGTTACACAAAAGGAAAAGCCTCCCCCATCCCCAATTCTCTTGTATTCATATCTGGCTTCAATTAAAATAACTGGGAGACAACAGATTTAAGCTATTTTCTTTACCAGAGGTGGTTATCTAACGTGCCTATTCCTGGGCTTTACATAAGGCAAGAGCAACTTGAATTGTCACAGTGATATTGTGGACAAGTCCAGGACAGAGCTTGTGATCACAGCAACTGGGCAAGAGCTGCTTAAGGAGCTCTTGAACTTGTAGGAGCAATTATGTGGCAGGAGAGGAGGCCCATTTAAAGCAAAGCGTTTATTTAAAGCAAAATGTAAAGCAAAGTGTTCAGGAGCAGCTCAGTTCTATTTAAATGCTGATCAAGGCAGACTCCTGCCAGTCTGCCGAGGGCAGCAGAAACCCTCTAGCCAGCCCCTGGAGGAGCTGCCAAGGTCAAACGAGCAAGTGTAGCCTCTTTGAGTTGTCCTACCAGTGGCAAAGTCCAAGTGACCACAGAGGGACACAGCAAACTCCCTGCCTGGGTCCAGCAGGGATCCCAAAAGCTCCTCCTTACAGGCTCCCAAAGCCTGTAAGACTCAGCAAAAACACAGAGCTGGAGCACTGAAAATCAGTGGAATAATGTACAAGAACAGGGCTGCCCTTTAACAGGCTCTGGAGTACTTGAATCCAAGCTGTTATCTCAAACCTACGAGGATATATTTATACCACTGCTCCCAGATGGCTCCCGGGATGCTGGCTCTTCCAGATCTCAGTGCTGACATCCCATCTTGGAACTCATTACTAGGGAAAAAATACAAATTTCCAAATATTTCTCTTAAAGCACTTCCCAAAATGGGCAACCGATGCCTGCTTGCTATTTCAGCAAGCAGAAAGATTTATTGCTTCTTATGGTAAATATTGATCTTGATCCTGTTGCACTCCATAGCTATATGGCAACTCAATAAGGAGGGATGTTTGCTTCTAGAAAAGTCAATTCCCAGTTATTAGTGCAGTTTTGCCAGCAAGCACCATCACAGCCTGGCTCTTCTCCCTGGCTGCATCAGGGTGGGAAAGGGACTGGCTGCAGGAAATTTAAATCCCTGAATTTTCCACTCCAGCTGCTTTGAACGGGGGCCCTCCTGCTCCACACGGGCCCTTCCACCCCATCCCTGAGTGCATCCTGAGGCTGCACCGCTTCAAGGCCTGTCATGCCGTGCATCCAGCCAGCTGAGGATGATGCAAAAGGTTCCACCAACCAAAACCTACCCAAACCCTCTCAGAACAGCTCCTGCTGTGAGGTCCCTGGTGTCTGTGAGTGACAAACAAGGACAGGACACTCAAAATAGGGACAGTGGGTTTCTCCCTTGAGGGATCTCCTCCAAGATCTCCCTCAAAATATTTTTTCCTGAAGGGGGACAGCCTTCTTCTTGTTTCTACAGCCCCCCTGAGATGGGGTTTCCATTTCAGGACCAATCAGAGAAGGGCTCTGACCCTGCAGGTCCCCATCCCCAAGAGACAATCCAGCCTCCATAGAGGCTGCAGAGACTGTGGTGCCCAAACCCAGCCATGTGGGGAGTTGAAATGCAAAAATCCACTCTGGGGCAAGATTCTCAGACTCCTAAAGATGCTGGGGGAAGGGGTACAAGCCCAGAGATGTCCTGCTCCCCTTAGGAACAGCCTCCCTAACACAGGCGATGTGTCGCAGCCATCTGCAGGCTCCCCAGCATCCCAGTCCTTGTTGCTGAAGGTGTCTGTCCTTCCTCAGCAGTTCCCATGGAAACTGGAGACAGATGGGAAAAGAGATGTGCTAGAAGATGGACAAGTTCAGGAGCAGGTCTGTGGGAACCTCATGGGGTTCAACAGACCAAGTGCACCAAGGCTGGCTCTGGGTAAGAGCCACAGGGGAACCTCAGACCCACAAAATATCCTGACAATGCTATTTTTTATTCAGAGCTCTCGACACAACTCCCATAACTATCCACCAGGCTGCTGGTGCTCATTTGTGTTTGTAAAAGGGATGTCTCATATTTAAATAATTTCTGTGATTTCACAGAGATGCCCACCAGCAAAATCTCTCCTAATGCATGGTCAGCACCTCGCTCCCCTTGGCTCTCCCTGGAGGTTTCCTCCTAGGCAGCCATCACCCAAAGCCCTCCTGAAGACAGGGAGAACTGGAAAAGGGATGCACAAAGCACGCCAGCAAGAGAGGGAAAGAAAAAATTTTGCATTGTATGTGCTGATAGGAAGAAGCAGAAGAGAACAGGGGAGAGTCACCTTTGTTGCAGGTATTGAACAAGCACCATGGTTGAGATGACTAAAATACAGCCTATAATTACCCTCATGCCCTGATAATGAACACTTATGCTGTCAGCACCCCCACTGCTCTCTCTCATTCATCCCTGATGACAGGCAGGTGCTTCCCCTCCTGCAGGTACCTTGGCACGGCTGATGTTCACATCACTCATGCTTCTACTGCGGTCCACCAGGAAGATGAACTCTCCCTGGGCTTTCCGGAGGCCTGGCTGCACAGTCCTCAAGTCAGGGCAGAAGTTGAGCATGATAACAGGGTGGTGGGGGATGTCCTTGTTCAGCCTCTTCCTGATGATTTCCGTCTGAAAGAAAGCAGGAGACAGTTCCAGAGGTCAATTTTGAGAGATCGATTTCTCCACCCCATTTTAATTTGAGGAGAATCAGAGCAGGGCTCAAAATGCAAGTGCATGGCCTTTTGTGGGCCAGAATCTGCTTGTTCAGAGGTGACAGCACCAGGGTGGGCCAATATCCAGGTGGTCTGTTCTGTCCACACCCACAGTATTCACCATCCCTGCAAGTGTCCAAGGCCAGGCTGGACAGGGCTTGGAGCAAGCTGGGATAGCGAAAGGTGCCCCTGCCCACGGGAGGGGTGGGACAAGATAAGCTTTAAGGTCCTCTCCACCAAACCATTCTGGGATTATAGGGAGCAACTGCACACTCAGATAAAAGCCTGGAGAAGAAATCAAAAGACCTGGCCCTACTCAGCACCTTGCAAATCTGATTCTCCAAACATTTCATTAGATCCTTCCTGAAAACCTGGTTCATTAGCACAGCATAGCATCCCACCGAGGCACACCAGAGGTTTTCTCCATGGTCACTCACTAATGAAGTGTGAGATGCAGCCCTTGATCTGCTGCATTCAGCACTCTAATTCATTCCTGCCACCTCTGGTTTGCTGCTTTTTCTGCCCATTTCTTTTATCACATTTCTTTGTAGGGATTGAAAGGCTTTGGAAAGCTGAACCATTTGCTCCGGCCATGGCTCGATAGGAACCTGCATGATCTCTGCACTGCACACAGCTCCAATGGCTCTCCACATTTTCTCTCCTTCTATTTCAAGTATTCATTACAAAAGGGATAAAATAATACTGGCAAAAACCTCTCGTGATGGGTTTATAATCTGCTGTTATGTGTGTATCAAGCAATAACGGGTTCATGGCCTCAGCTGCTTTGGAGGGAGCTCCAGGACCCCACATCAGCCCAGCCACAGCCTTTCATCCCTGGGTCTGAGTGTGGAAACAACTCCTCAACAGCAGCTCGATCCTCAGGGGCTTTGTTTGCCTCTTTTTTCCTCTTTCTGGCTGCTTTTCTCTGTTGGTTTCACAGGGAGTAAACCCCAGATAACAGGGCTTGTTTTCTCCAGCCATGAGTCACATTCCTCAGTCTATGAGCTGACGACCAACCTTTGTTTTCTAAAACTCACTAACTCCCTGTGGCTCAACACACACACATAAGCTCTGCTTTCAGCTCCTCTGCCTGAGTGCATCTTCTCTGACCCAGTGAAAAGACAGGTCCCACTCAGGGAATAAGCCAAGCTCCCACTCATCCTCCTGCCTTTCCCTTCTATGCTATAAATTAATCAGCTGCTGAGAAATCAAAGGGCTTTTTCCATTTCCATTTCCTTCTAGCCATATGACATTATTTTCTTTAACTTTTCCAGTTTATTGCATTTCAGACTAGAGTGTTCCTTGCTGCCACTGTACAAATATTGAATCGTGGGCCTGAACCTATCCACAGAACTCCCTGGCATGCTGTTGGGTATCCATGACACAAATTTCCTGTGTGATCAGGATGAGCCCATATTTGGGGGTTTCTCACTGACTGGAGGGAATTTTAGAGGCACATCTTCAGTAAACGCTTCAGAGGAGCTGCTACAGGTCAGCCAGAAAAGAAAACATCTCCTCACCTCTCTTCCGTTCCCCTTCACCCATTATCCAATTACAGTAAACTAATCAGATTTTGCTGAGTAAAGTTGATTCTAGTGTGCATCCATCCCCACCAACCTGCAGCTGACAGCATCCAAGCCTTTTGCATAATAAATGGAGGAAGGAGAATTACTTATCATTTACTGCTGAAATTTCTGGACTAATTTAATTTAAGCCAAGAAGTGGCCAGTGTCCTGTTCTGAGCAGCAGCAATTCCAGCCCATCATCTACCCCAGGTATTCCAAGCATTTTCTCTGCTCCCTGCAGTTGTTTCCCAGTCCTCCTGGGGCACAGGTGGCTTTCCTGCAGGGAAATGTCTCCAGAATGATCCCCCCTCAGATAATTTGACATGCTAAATGTGCAGAAATAATTAGGGAGCCATCCGAGGCGTAGCGTGGGAGTTTCATCTCGTTCCACCTGCCACACGCTGAACACAATTAGAGGAGACGCCCGCGGAGTCCCAGCCCTGCGAGAGAGAGCAGAGGGCCAAGGGAAGGGAGGAGAGGAGGCTTGACAAGTCTCTGGTGAAAGGAGAAATCTTAGCAGCACGGGAAGGCACCCCTGCAGCAGGTCTGGGATGTCTGCCAAGAAGGACCCAGGATCAGACACGTGGAGAAGGAGTTTAGGGGGAAATTAGCATCCCTGGGCACACAGGAGAGCCCTGGCTGTGTAAAACAGGAGCTGACACTGTCAGCCCCAGCTGTGGTCACACAAGCACAACCTGTCCCTTAGGGGAAGACGCCCACCCTGGAAATCCGGAGGGCTCTGAGCTGTCTGCTCCTCTCCGCCGATCCCAGACACACCAAAGAGTTGGGCTGTCACTCATTCCTTCAGAACTGCTGAAAGACGAGGCACAAATCCCAGCACAGATATTTTTCTCTTTGCTGCTCAGCAGAACAAAGAGAAGTCTCTCCTACCTTGTCTTCAGTTCAGCTCATTATTCCCAGGAAGATCACTTCTTTCTCTCTGACAGCTACCCAGAAACAGTAAACATTTACCAAGCAATTAAAAGAATATTTTATTCTCTGTCATTGCAATAATTATAATACCCTTAATGCTATCACAATGCACCTCTCTAATTATGCTATGCTAGACTAGCACTAATTATACACACAATAACCATCTCAGAGCTCCTTCCCCTCTCAGTTTATCAGCAGCACTGCTGAATTTTCCCCTCTTCCTCCACACAAGCCCCTCTCTGAGGGAGGACGTTGCAGGTCTCATTGGGACAGTCTAATATCTGATGCTGGAAACATGGAATCATCTTCTAGCTCAGCTCCAGTCCATGGAAAGCCTCAGCTAACACCTGCAGCTTGTGTTTCTCACCTTTTTCTTGGCACTGGGGTCTTTCTTAGTGCCTTTAATGAAATCGTTCTTCCCCTTCAGGTGTCGTTCATACTCCACAGGGGTCATGTCACCCTCTTCCATTAAGACATGGGGCACGTGGGGCTCTGTAAATGCAGAGAATTGTGTGAAGAACAGCTGTGGTTACACTTGGGGTCTGGCAGAGATGCAGGCACCCTTGGCTGGGAAAACAGCAGTACCTGTGAGCTTGGAGAGCTCAGAAAACCCTGAGAGGGACGAGGATTACCTCCTGGGAAGCCTAACCATGACAATATTAGCAAAACCAGCACTAACCCAGCTGTCTCCAGAGCTACAGATGAAGATCCCAGGAAGGGGCAAGAGCAGCAGAGGGGTAGCAGAGCCCACCTACCACTTGGATGGATCAGGATCTCCACGGGTCTGTCGAAGGTGTGTTTGTTGGCCAGCGTGATCACAATGCTCTTGGCAGAGCGAGCTGAGGGGTCGGCGTCTGCTCGGATCTCATGTGTGGGGCTCTCAACTCCTGCCAGAGAAACCAAGGTGCCAGTAGGGATTGAGGATGGGGGGACACCAGGGAGAAGGGATGTCAAGGCAGTAGAGGACAGGAACCCACGTTAGCATCAACCTTGTACTGGTAAATCCACCCCAGCACAGTCAAGTTGCCAACACAGATTTACATTGAGGAGGAGGAGTGTGGACATTGCCTTGGGGAGGTGATAAATCAGCCTTGTGAAGCAGGACAGCCCCAGTGTTCCTACCTGCCAGCAAACATGGCCCCCGGATCTCCAGCTGGAAGCTGAACTCATACTCAAAGGGGTTGGTGGCCTCACTGTCCAGCAGCTGAGTCAGGCAGAACCTGCTCCCTTGCTCCGGGCTCCCCAGTCCGCAGGGGTGCTTGTCCCTGCCAGTGAGAGAAATCCAAATAAACCCTGTCAACATGTTCCATCCCCCCAGGAATTGCAGGTCTGCCAGAGGTAAAGCCTGCAGCCACTCTGCAGCCTCCTGCAGCTCCTGCTCATTCAGCCCTGCATTCCCCAAGATCAATCCCAGACAGAGCCCACCCTGTGGTTTTCCATACGTTTGGAGCTGGTGGCTGGAAAAACTGCTGGCATTCTCCAGGCTGGGCTGGGAGACCCTGGGGACACACACAGCTGGCAGAAGGACCCTCACCACCCCGCTGGGGAGTGTCTGCAGCTCAGAGGAGGTGCTGATGAAGATGGAGACACTTTCCAGGGGAGGAATCATGCCCAGGTTGGCCACAAAAACAATCCTTTCCAGGTCCTCATCCATCATAAGCCTTCCTGCACAGAGATTGGACCATGCCAGGTATTGCAACCATGGAAAATGCTCCTTTCCAGGCCTCCCACAACCCCCAGCCCTGGATCAAACACCCAAAGCTGCCACCACTGTACACATCAGCCTCCTTTAAAGAGCCCCAGCTTCTGCATCACTCTTTTGGCTGCCCAGAAGCAGCAGTGCTTTCCAAGATGGACAAGACTGACACTTCTGGCATGAGCACCACAACCTCTCAGCCTCCTAAAAGGAAGGTGCCGCAGTATACACCAGCCAGCCACCCTTGTCACCTCCACACTCCCCTTCCCCTCCTTTTCTCCCTAAAACACCCTCAACCCCCTCACCACTTCCATCACCAGCTCTTCCAGGAGGGAGGCTGCAGCTGTTGAAGTAGGTGTCATCCATCTTGGCTTTGTCTTTGATCTGCACTGTCACAGTGCGCCGTGACACGGCTGCCTCAAAGCCCACGACAGTTGTGCCCTCGTCCAAGGGGTACACAAAGAGACCTGCCAGCCAGGAAGAGAGTCAGCAACACCCACCTCTTCCCTGGACCCACCAGCCAGGTCCTTCTTGGCACTTCCCAAGTGGGAAAAAAATCCCACTTGTGGGATTTTTCACACCTAAAAAGTTGTAGACTTGGACACAATACATTTGGTTGTGCTTCCCACCAGCATCTAAAGGTTGAAGGCATGCACAGAAACCCAGCACTGCCATATCCTCACTTTAAAGTTCCCATGCCAAGCTTCACTCCTTAAAACTTGCCTTCCAAAGCCTGGGGATCTGGGTTGTGGTAGGTGAGCAGGGCTGTCATCCCAAAGGCATAGCCGCTGACGCAGGATGTCACCTCAGATGCAATGAGGGGCAACCGGGAGAGGGTCGCCCAGTTAATCAGCCCTGGCATCTTCCTGGGGGTCTCTGGGTGATGGTGGGGAGCTGGAGAGAGAAAGATGAGAATGGATGTGAAGCTCCGAATGCCCAAAATGTTTGCATGGCTCTGTCACCTCATTCTGAAGCCCTGAGGACAGAAAGGTGAGTGACCTGGGAAAGGATGAGACCTGGGTTTGATGACTGCAGTGATGGGGATGGAGCAAGATCCCGACGGGAAGACACAGAGCAAACCCTTGCCCCAAATCCCCATTGGCACAAGGGAGGAGGCTCAGATGAAATCTCCCTGGCTGGGGACAGGCATTCCTGGAGGTCCATAGCCCCCACCTCCCACACTGCTGGAGCCTGAGCAGAACAGGTTAACATCTTTTTCTGTCCCTCTTCCTCCTCATTATCCTCCAAACCAACAACTTTCTCCAGGATAAGACTATGATCATGAGAGTTTTCCTTTCTCTTGAGGAAGGAAGAGTAGGCAGGCAGAGCCATACATGCTCCTGCCCTCCCATGCCCTTGCCCATCCTCATCCTTGCTGATTACAGGGAAGTGCCATTGCTCTGCTGTCCTGCATCTCCAGATCCTTCCTGCACAGGCTGACTCATCCCTCCCTGTGCTCAGCCGACACATTCAGATGCAAAGTGACTCCTTATGCCAATTACATTCCAACTCTTTTCCCTAAGCAGGTTTTCCTCCATTACAGCTCCTCTCCTCCAGGCCTCAGGGTTTTAAAGGAGACTTTTCAGGTGGATTTTAGGGCCCCATCCTGCTCCCCCAGGGAACCAGGAGAAGTTGCTAGGCAGCAGTTCTCCCTGGCTGGCTCTGCAATGCTTTATGCAGTGATTTACGAGGCCCAGGAGAAGCAAGCAGCACTGAAATACATCAGTTTCTCATTTCTTCATTATTAAAACCCACCTTTATATGCAAATGCTGCAGAAGACATCAAGGCCACGAGCTCGATGAGTGCTCGGGCAGGAAAACGGCATTGAGAAAGGACAAAGGGAGAGCCAGAGAGAGCAAGAAGGGCTGTCCAGGATGGGGAAGAGCAGCCAGGGAAACTGAGCACAGGAAACAGCAGCAAAAATGATGATGGAGGGCAGTAATCCCAAGGCACGCCCCTGAATCCCAGCCAAAAACCTTAAATTCCCAATTTGATCCGCCCCTCCTTCTAGCACAAAGGCTGCTCACGCCAGGAGCTGCCCAGGGAGGTTGGGGATGCATCCATGCAGCCCCCACAGTCAGGAAATGGATGGAGTCCTGCCTGAGCCAGGGGAGGCCATCCCACACCAGGGTGCTCCAATCCGTGCCAACAGGGCCTGGGAAGTCAGGAGCTGGCAAGAGTTCACGTGCCACAGGGAGAGGTAGTGAAGGTCCCCTCACTTCAATATGTGCCAGAGGCCATCAAGGCATAGGGAAGTGATTACATGCCAGGTGGGGGAGGAAGAAGGGGGAATGAATTTACCTTAGGAAAGAAATAATCATGGGAAGAAGCTCTCTAACAGCTTGGCACAACAGGAATTCATTATAGGATTGCCAGAGGGGTGAATTTGGGCTCCAGGAGTGTGATTTCAGCTTGGAACTGGGGACTTAGTACAGAGGCATGGGTGAGATCCAAGTCCCTCACATCTCCTGCACCCATGGAAGATTGGGGACATAGCTCCCATGGGAACCACTTGCCAGCAGGGATTTCTGCATCACCTGGGCAAGCACTAAGGGACCCTTGGTGAGATGCAGAGCCCTGTGCCATGTCCTGTTTAATTCACCCAGGAAAGTTGCACCTCTCCTGCAACTCCGAGGTGGCTCAGAGGAGCCTGGCATCAGCTCTCACTTCTGTGCCAGCCAAAAAATCGGCCCCACAAGGACAGGGAGGGCTCAGAGGGCTCTTCCCGGCAAAAACCCTTTGACAAAAGTTGCACCTCTCCTACAACTCCGAGGTGGCTCAGAGGAGCTCTCACTTCTGTGCCAGCCAAAAAATCGGCCCCACAAGGACAGGGAGGGCTCAGAGGGCTCTTCCCGGCAAAAACCCTTTGACAGGGGACGCTACCAGCAGAGCCATGGGGCTGCTCCACACAGCTTGTGTCACCAACGCCATCAAGTGACTGCAGCAGGGAAAGGGAGAGCAGCAGAAAGGCTGGAGTGAGGGAGAGCAGTGGGAAAGCTGGAATCTGTTCCCTGTGCCACCCAGGAGCTCAGCACCGGCCCCTTGCCTGCTCTCCATCCTGCCCTGGCTGCTCTGGGATGTGTCCTCAGTCCCCGTTCAGGCCACGGGGCCTGGACTCTCAGGATGGCACCTGGCAGGTGCCAAAAAAATTACCCAACATCCCAAAAAAATTACCAACAGCTTAACGCTGCACAGGGTACTCCTAGACACACCCAGCCCTCAGTCTGTCCCCTCACTGCCACCAAACGTGTCCTGTCTCCCGCACATAGCAGGCAGGGGCCATCCCACAGACCTGGCCAGGTGTCTCCCGACCTTACACTGCATCTGGCATTCCAGGAAAAAGGGAAAACACTGAGGGTTAATACCACCTTCAGCCCTCAAAATACACCTGTAATCCCATCAACTAGGTAGCACCTCAGGGCTGGGGACAGACACTGTCCCTTGGCCAGCTGCATTCTGGACCTGGCACACCAGGCTGCTACTGGATCGATCTTTTTTTTCCCCCTTCCTTTGTAAGCATCCTTTCCATGACAATCCACTGCTCTTCCTGGCCACGGAGGGGAGGGAGACACGGAAGTGTGATCATCCCTCGGCCAAATCCTGTGCCCGACTGACGGGGAAGGCGCTGATGCTGCTGCAACGTCCCGGTGACGCGCAGGGAGCGCAGGGCTGCGAGCCGGAGCACAGGCTCCAGCCCCCCACAGGCTAACTCCAGAGAGGCTGGGGCTGGATTTTATGGGATGGGAAAAGGTGTTTATGTGCCTGAAAAACGGGGGTGGTGCCTGAAGCACTGCTTGGAGCTTCCTGGGTGTCCATCTGTGTCTCTAAGCACTGATGTGCCCTCAAAAAATCTGTCTGAGCACATGGAGTAAAGACAGGGGCAGAGTAATGCTCCTCTGAGGTGTATTTTCATGCATTGAAAAGGAAAATAGAGCAAAACTGTGAACACACAGCCTGGCTTCTGGCAGGACCCGACTCCCAGGAGTGGGTTGGGATCCCAGCTGTACCACACCACAGGGTCTATGGCATCCACAGCCGACAACAGGATAGGGAGAGTCAAAGCAGGAGCTGGGATAAAACCCGACATAGCTCCACCCAGCCCTGCTGCCTGAAGGGCAGAAATCAGGGGCAGCTCAGCTGTTTCTGCCCCCCAGGACAGGAAGACTGCCGTGTCAAGCCGAGCCCTGGTGTCACACCTTGCATCAGACGCATTTTTGAGCAGCTGAATCACTGCCCCGCCCTGCCGTAACCCCTGACAGGCCACACGCGGGTTCCCTTGGAGATCTCGCCTCCCGGTCCGAGCTACACCTAGGGCACATCACCACTGCTCAGAGGACGTCTGGTTTTCTGCAGCTGGGTAAAATATTCCTTCCACGTCGTCTGTCTCAATCAACACTGACATCCAGTGGCTCTCCGGGATGACGACAGCCGGAGCGCCCTGTGGAGCTGTACAGGTGGACAGAGCTGGCCAAGGATGCCTGTTGCACCACAGCCTCCTGTCAGCATTCCTGGGCAATCTCCACAGGGAAACAAACTCCCCCCTGTTTGCAAATCCAAGACTGGAGAAGCCTTGCACTTCCCAGACTTTCAGGGCTCTCGAGTAGAGCCACCCTGAGGACTTCTCCCTGGTTTTCAGGGGCAGCAAGGCTCAGAGAGCTGCATGAGGGACCCCTGACTTCACCAACCCGACTCACATCACTGCAGATCATGACTGAGACATGTAGGAGCCCCCCAGCTACTTTCTCCCAAAGCACAAGGCTCAAACCTGGCAAGGATACTGGGATCAACCCCCAAAATATCTCTAGGAAGAGGAGGAAATGGGGTTTGAAAGAGCACCCATAGCATGGTCCTGTCTGGAAGAGCCATGGATCCACCATGGCAGAGCTGTGAGATACTCTCAGCAGAAGCTACAGGAACTGTTCACCCATCTCCAGCCTCCTCTTACCTCAAACTGCAAGCAGAATATCCCATTTAATGGAAAACCAAGAAAACTGCCACTGCAGGCCCCCAAAAGGTAACAACATGGGCTCCCCACTGCCACAGCAGTGACAAGGATTGCTGGCCCCAAGGATACCCTGAGGCCTCAGATATGGGAATTGGAGAAAGGCTGGGAAGCAACTTCTCCTGCCAGAGCCCAGTGGAAGCAGCCAGGTCCCCCTTCCCAAGGTGACATAGTGCCAGGCTGGGACATGACTGACAGCCCTGGCAGAGACAGACTTTGGGAACTGTCAATCGCAACCCTGGCAAGTGTCTTAGACCACCAGTCTGGCCCCAGAGTTGGGTATCACAGACCTGGATTCCTGTCCTAAGCCCCTTCCTAGAGCTGTTAATCACATATTTCTGACACAGGGGTTAGTTAACCCCCACCTTGCTGGGCTCACAGCTGGGGAGAGGATCCCTGGGCTGAGCCAGAGAGGGGGTGTTAGCCCAGACACCCCTCAGGTGGGCTAAACCTACCAGGCAGTCTGCTTCTTGCTTGGGGTGCATCCAGATCCAAGGAGACACACAGGGCCCCCAGAAGCAGCACAGCCCTTCTCCATCCACCCCTGTCCTGCCCTGCCCCAGCCAGTGTGGTGGATTCCAGCCAGGTCTCAGTGTTTTGACCCTTACCAGGGGGATCAGCCCCCCTCACCCTGCCAAGGTCACTCCTCCTTCCCCAAACAGTGAGTCCACAGATGGGTTATCCCACTTGGCTGCTGAGGACAGCAACAGCCCACCACCCCCAGCATCATGCCCCCGTCCATCCCTGTCCTCTGCCTGCACAGAGATGGACACAGTCACTACTAATGTCTGTACAATTTTTGGGAGGGATTGGATGTTCCGGGACTCGCCATCCAGCTGGGAAAAAGCAAGGCTGGGAA